CTTGTCTAATATATGACGCCTAAACAACAGCGTATTTCGTACCTGGAATATCCTACCAACTAGAGTACTAAGCAGGCTTGTCCACCACATTTGGTTGAAGCGGACCATCACAAACAGGGAATTAAACTGAAGTCATCTGAGTCTCCTGTCAAAACCGAATTAATGTGCAAATGAGCGAAGTTCTTAAAATCTGTCCAATTGCGGTTCAAGTAGAACATGGTGTAGATGGAAACTCGGGGACAGATAATGGAGAATGGCGAAACCGGTGGTGATCTTTCGAAGGATTTTCAGCGAACTTATAAGTAGTGTAACTTCCAGAATGAACATGGTCAACGTGCACGCCCCAACAGCCTAGCTGGTAACCCGTGAATCATCAAAAATAATTTTCTTAGCTTGACAGTTCACGTGAACTTGACCGAGGTGATCAACATCTGGCTCATTGATTTCGGAGTGACTGAACTTTCTACTCGGTAACTCCATTCCTCTGCTTTGGTCTGCCCCTGACCGAGGTGATCAACATCTGGCTCATTGATTTCGGAGTGACTGAACTTTCTACTCGGTAACTCCATTCCTCTGCTTTAGGTCTGCCCCGATACCGCTATCACTAGCGTTCGTCTCAAAAGTGAATATCTTTGCGACACTGGTCGGCTTGTGGGTTAGTTGCTGATCCAGTATCCGCGTTTCGACACGTTCGAAAGCCTCATCTGCTTACCTGATCTACTCGGATATCCGATTTTGTCCGAGTGGTACAGTGGAGCAGCTATCAAATGAAAATCCTTGACGAACCGGCTGTGGTATACTGCTCATCCGCGAAGATGCAATAGAGACGTTTTGGAACTAGGAAAAGCACAGTTCTTGAGCTTTACCAGCTCTTCCGGCACTGAACCAACCACCCGTGGCCCACGTTATGCTATATTAGTTTCACCGAACTCCAAGCGGGCTTTGGCTGAATGAACGGGTTGTAGCTGTTCCTTCGGTTGTTGAGATTTTTGATTCCCTCGAGCACTTCCGATATTTAACGGTGTTGGGCTTGGGTTGCCAATGCTGGAAACTATCCGGGAAGGCAGATGATCGGGAGAATACTGTGCTCATGGTTGAGGATTTCTTATAATAATTTAAACGCATGCGTTTGTTTTATCTGGGGCACGATTCACATTATATTTTGCCCAGATTATTGTGGTCAATAATTTTTCCCATCTTAGATCAACCACGGCTTCTGCGCTCTTGACAGAATGTGATCAGAGTATCGTGCTGCACAGACCTGTCACATTGACGCATTCAATGCTTTTACAATCCGTCGAATTTCAGTAGGAATCCACCGCTGCTCTCATGGCTAGCGCACATTGTGTGCATTCAGCATGGCTCCCATCGCGTGTCAGCGATACACCTTCAACTGTATCAATCAATCACAGCATCCTCTTCTTTCTATCTCGTTTTGTGTATGGTGGTCGGTGTCACTGCGCATATCGCAACTTACTCGGGAATAAAGCAGTAATACTATGTTCATTATATACAAGTGTTCGAATAGGAGGACATTGATTATTTCGATGACGAGGCATGCAATATTTGTAGCACCGGCCGGTTAGTGCATGCATATGTAACTCCGTCTTTATGGGTGCAAGCTAGTCGTCGAGTTATTCCACTTTGTCCTCCAGGTCTTCCACTGTTGAATCATCCCTGTTCTACTGCGAATGCAACGTGGTCACTGTTGCCTGAGCCGATCCCCATGCAAGATGCAGCATGTGTTCAGCACTCAACTGGCCAGTTGCCGTTGCTAACAGCTCGAACCGGCCCGTCTCTCCTGTTAGACACTGGAGATATCATCGATTCTTCCTCCTGTCGGCTTGTGCGTTACGGGGCATCAGAAGAAGGATGGGTTCCCGGGAGCGCCGGGATAATTGCAAATGTGACTGAGATAATGAAATGATGAAGGAGAACAAGTACCGGATGGCTTCATAGTGCTCTCAGTTGCCGTGTATCGCTTGAACCGGCCAACGCACTTAACACATCATGCAATTCAGCGCGAAGAAGAAGAGCGGAAAGAGTAAGTTGAAGGAAGGTAGCAAACAACCGTCAACCAGACCCAATTGGGGATATAAATTGACAAACCTTCGACCGAACCTGAACTTACCGTTATTAATATCAACATCTGAATATCCTTCTACGTTCAAGAAAGAGGATGGTGAGGGGAAAAGAGGACTCTGCTGACTGGGGTACTCTGATGAAATAGCCTTACCCAGGTCTACACAAAGGCGCTATAGAGCCAATTGCGGACTCTCATCCTCTGATGAACATGATTGATATATATTCATTGCTCTACTCATTATTCCCTTGTTTTAGTATTGGAGATGCTGTACACATTCGTCAGTTGGAAAACATTCGTGTTACTTGTTACGCTGTGCTGAACTGTGAATTTCTAGTTCGTCGGATTATACCGATATACCCGCTGAACATAGTTCTCACATTTTAGCACCGGTGTTCCAACAGTTCATCATGCCTTCCGAAACGGCAACCATTAAATGTTATTGAGCTGCGCGAAACGCAGACGATTACTCAGAACGGTTCGACATATGAAGCCTTAAGATTTCTCACCTCAACCACTGAGTTATCTCGAGCTCTCTAGAAAAAATGCCCTCGCTTCAATAGTGAGCATCTGCTAATTGTACCATGACTTTCGTTGTAAATCTAAAAACTTGGGAGGGGCTGGACGGAGGTGCGTGATTCGCTTCTGCCGTTTTCTTACAACGACCAGTCCATGCAAAACATGATACGATAATTTTCACGCGACGTGCTGAATCTTATGTGTTCAATTTTGTGAAGCAAAACACGTCATTTACGTTAGTAAACCTGCACCTGGGAACCCAAAATGCGATTTCAAATTTAGCTTGTCCTGAGAATTTCCATTGGGTCAAATATCATGCCCCTGCATACGGTGTTCTACTAAGCCTCGGGAGCGGCAACGATCAGGTGATTTATCCTTGTGACGCATATGATATCACGAACAATTCGCGCACCGAGATTAATGAACCAACTGATTTCGTCATTGAGCAAAATTCTGAAACCAAGTAAAGTTTACACTCCAGCTGAAATTGACCAGTAAATACGAAAGACTACTTTGGGTTCTGTTAAGTCTCCCGATGAGACGTACTTAATGTGAGAGTGAGAGTATTTTATCTCTCAGAGAGATCGGAATCCTGGAGTTAACTGTTACACGGTCGCCATGACTTTCGTTGTAAATCTAAAAACTTGGGAGGGGCTGGACGGAGGTGCGTGATTCGCTTCTGCCGTTTTCTTACAACGACCAGTCCATGCAAAACATGATACGATAATTTTCACGCGACGTGCTGAATCTTATGTGTTCAATTTTGTGAAGCAAAACACGTCATTTACGTTAGTAAACCTGCAGCCTGGGAACCAAAATGCGATTTCAAATTTAGCTTGTCCTGAGAATTTCCATTGGGTCAAATATCATGCCCCTGCATACGGTGTTCTACTAAGCCTCGGGAGCGGCAACGATCAGGTGATTTATCCTTGTGACGCATATGATATTACGAACAATTCGCGCACCGAGATTAATGAACCAACTGATTTCGTCATTGAGCAAAATTCTGAAACCAAGTAAAGTTTACACTCCAGCTGAAATTGACCAGTAAATACGAAAGACTACTTTGGGTTCTGTTAAGTCTCCCGATGAGACGTAGTTAATGTGCGAGTGAGAGTATTTTATCTATCAGAGAGATCGGAATCCTGGAGTTAACTGTTATACGGTCGGAATCTACTGAGGCCCAAAATATCCACCAAAATTTGAATAGGGAAGCCGGCATGCATCCAGCCAAGTCAATCATTCAATCAATTTAGCAAAAACCGACGAGCGTTTATGCACGCCACAGAAGGACGACCAATTGTGTTTAGCGTTAAGGCATCCCTTGGAAACACGATCGTTAATGGGTGTACATTGAACGCCTATCAGACTGCCTGCATTAATGCCAGAAAACGCTCTTGATATAACGCGGAGCCGTTGTAACTTTTCCGCTGGCACGCACTCGCTTGTTTGGAATAAAGCTGTTGTGTACCCATTCTGGCACTCGGCACAGGAGGGGGAAAAGCAGTAACAGTAACATTCCTTTTATTTTACTCTGAAATTTATCCAAAGACGAGGTGTAGCTGAAGAGTTCCAAAATTTGGCGGCAAAAACCTGCTTTAATCAATAGCCAAATTCTGCGTGTAACCGATTTAACACGATTGCCGTCTGAGTTGGTGTTTTGGCTCGATGCCAGCCTCCGATGTTTTGCGTGCCGTAGGGCACCAGTACGTTTGTCCCAGGATGGATTTCCGTGGAACCGCGATACTGCGCATCCGGTGTAACTTGGGAATGATTCTAGACTAGACACCTCTGGCTTGGAGTTGATCCCTTCACGTCCCATGCGCATGAACATCAACCAGTTGATGAATCTGACACAACATCATGAGGTTTAAATTGTATTAAGAGAAAAACCGCCCAAAACAGAAAACTCCAGAAGACTCCTTACCAGGAGTTTAGACTAACTAAGGCCTTGCCAACGACCTTGCTTGTCTAAATGTACGATTGAGTTTCAAAGAGTTGTATGACAGCATGTTCAAAGTCGAAGGGGCCTAGTTTCAGGATGTGTCCCTATCACGGCTAAAGTGATCACGAGGAACATTGAAATTTGAGCAGTGTTTTTGAGTCGACAGACGACACAAAACTGTTCTACCTACGTTGGCCGACTGGCCTATTTATGTTCGTCCTGTGCGCCTATCATGCACTGGTGCGCCAGATATGTGGTGGCCTCTTGACGAGTACAGAAGGCCTGAGAATCCCGACGGTATTACCTAAATGCTTTTGGGTTTTACCGAACGCACGTTGGACGGCTGGCTTGATTGAAAACACAACCCATGTTTCGCGACGATGGCAAAACACGGTAATCAACAGCTGCAATTCATTTTATTTTGGCAAAATCAGGCAACAAGCGGTGGGTCCGTTAGGAGCAGATGTTGTGGACACAGTCGATGAGGGCTTCGACCTCGTATCCGGCTTTGCACAGCTCCATTAAATGGGATGTTTGCTGGGCTACCTCAAGGATCTGAAGACAGATAGATAACAAGTTCTCAGCTAGTAAATCAGTCCAATCATGAAAGCGAATGATTTGCCGCGCATGAGAAAGACTTAGGAACCGACATTTTGGGCATAAGTTTGTACTAGTGACTAAGAATGCTTTCAAACGAGCAGCAAGGTGTTTTCACACAATATTCGTCCTAACGTCCACCAACGGGCATCAGCATTCTCGTAAACACTGAAAATAATTCTAAACAGTGGGATGTTTCTTTGTGAGGCACTATGAATTTCAAGCGAATATTGGGTCCGCGATTAAAACTAGTATTTGCGAGAGGATATTTCGAAGCGTTACGATATAAATCCGCGCGAAGTAAACTCTAAATTTTTCAGCTACGTAGCAGATGAGCGAAACTGTAGGAACACTACGAAACAAAACACAAAGCAAAACAATGTCCAGTTTCGCCCTTTTAGAGGATCATCAAATGGTCGCAGTCCACGAGTTTCCGTACAACGGCATATTTTACTTGAACCCGGCAGATTTTCTCAAATGATCCCGCTTGTAAACAAATTTGGTTTCGATAGGGGGCACAAGTGCACCGCAAATTTCGGTTAGCTTCCACTGAATGACCATCTAGAACACGCGATTGATGGGAGCCTACCTGAGCCTACATGGTGGGCCCAAAAAAGGCAAATCAGGTGGTCAGCTGTCCAGTTTATGTAGCTAATCCTGCTGTGCCAATAATGAGGTATTTGAAAAGGTAACAAATGTCCATTATAAGATAGGATTCTGGTTGCAATGTCCAACGATCATGAATCTGGAGCAAGATAAACCGATCGAGACTGTTTTAGGAATTTTGAAATCAGTCAGGCAACACGGTACGTTGATAATCCACCGAAGATATATAAGTTAGGCATCCGTACAGGGAAGGTTCTTGGTTGTTTTTGGTTAACCATTCTCCGCCGTTACATCAAATCGTATGAAAACAGATGAACCAGTAGAAGGCCTGTGCTTATCTTTGGACTTCCTCTGTACAGATCGGTTTTGTGGGTTCCAGAAATATTGGAGGATTCTTGGAATCAACAGTGGTATGCTATGCTTTTCGGACAGATGTGACACTGATGAGGCGTTTGTGCGTGTTGGTCCTTGATCAATTCTGGAGAGTAAAATTACTTGCATAGTTTCTCCTCAACGGAAACAGTGTTGAAGTGCAGAGTACGAATAGTCCAAAAGGTTGAGCAATAGCGAGTCACTCGGCGCAATATCTGGGCAACCGTCGCCTTTCAATCAAATACTTGCAGGTAGAATCGATGGAATTTTGGGAAAAAGGACTGGTTTCGTTGATCAAAAAGAGGGATATACACCACCCTATAACGGATAACCAGAGGTTCAATCGACAGAGGTTTGAAAGTGGTTGTCAAAACATTGAACCCAAGGTACACGCTCAGAGTAGACAGAGGTTTTCATACAAACTGACCCGAGTTCACTAGTCATGGTTATCATCTTGGGCTTGTCGTTCTACAGCTTTATCGCACCAATTGTTCCAGCTTTCTGTCGGTTGGACATCGACTTGTTTGGTAAATTTTCCTCGAAATTGTGCGTTATTGTATAACAAACCTAACGATTCCAGCCAGATTTGCTGGCGAGATCATCCGTCACTCTATTTCTTCGCAGATTTGAACACAGGGACGATTTGTAAACAGAGGAACACCGTCAACGCAGTCCCGTATCGCGTCCGACATCAATCTGTCACCCTGTCGTGATGGTCGGATTATGCCGGCTGGAATTCAGTTCCCAGGGATTTTATGCATGCCAGCATTGGCAAGGTTGCAGCTCAAAAGTTTGAAAAACTGAACTCAGTTGAACTGAACTGAACTGAACTGGAATGAACTGAAATGAACTCAACTGGGCTGAAATGAACTGAACTCAACTCAACCGAAATCTACCGAACTTAACTGAATTGTATTAAGCCAGCTTCATCCAGCTAATGCCAATCTTGGTATTTCCATATGCTCATACAATGACCCTTTGCATTGTTTAAAATTCCGCTTTATCTACATCACCTTCCACTTCAGATCGGTCGCTCTAGTGGTAACGGGTTATGGGAGAAATAGCTTGCAACACGTGGAACTGATGAACGTCATGTTGAACGTCCAATTTTAGGAAAAGAACTAAGGTGCTAGTGATGTGGGTCCCAGATTTCGCCCTAAAGTTGATTTGCTGGACGGTTAACTCACAGTAATTTTTAGCCTGTGGCGTTTTTGAATAACAAACCTAACGATTCCAGCCTGATTTTCTGGTCAACTCATGCTTCGGTATATTTCTTTGCAGTCTTGAACACAGGGACCACTTACAAACAATGGACTTTCTCTCCATGACTGTCCTCTGTCATTTCTAACATCAATCCATCAACATTTCATGGTGGTTGTATTTTGCTGGTTAGAACTCAGTTCACAATGGTTTCAAAGTTATCAAAACTAAGCTAAACTAAAGTGAAATTGAACTGACGGGAACTGAACTAAAGTGAAGTGAACTGAATTGAACACCGGTCGCTTCATCCAGAGGCTCTCAGCCTTACAATTCCCATGTACCTACACCATAACACTTCAGATTGTTTAAAATTCCGATTTACCTACAGCACATTCCACCTTCCATCACTCGCTTCGTGATTAAACTAAAGTGAAATTGAACTGACGGGAACTGAACTAAAGTGAAGTGAACTGAATTGAACACCGGTCGCTTCATCCAGAGGCTCTCAGCCTTATAATTCCCATGTACCTACACCATAACACTTCAGATTGTTTAAAATTCCGATTTACCTACAGCACATTCCACCTTCCATCACTCGGCTTCGTGATGACGGGTTATGATGGAAAATATTTACCAAGATGTTGGACCAATGAACACATTGTTGCGGGATGAACGTCTAATTTAAGGAAAAGAACGAAGGTGATATTTAGGTGAACACCACATTGCCCCGAAAGTTCATTTGCTGCAAGTTGAACTAAGAGAAATTTTGAGACTGAGGCTCGCCTTACGTGACGCCGTGAGTGAATGCATTGGCTAGCAATGTATGAGGTTTTTTTGCACACCCTCGTTTCCGAGCATCACGAGTTCAACTTGCCTGCTGAATTGTGAAGCATGACTTCCGGAATTGATCGAATACTGCCTTGAAACACATGAGTTCATCCCTCTTGGACAAGCCGTTTACCGTTGGCTTACGGTGGGTTGTCACATCCATGACGATGTCACGAAAGGTTTCCTTGACGATGTGGCTAAGCTGGGAGGATCGAAAAGAATAGATGTGTGAGGTTATAGATAGACTATAAAAGATTTGTCGCACATCTCAATTAATCCCGTTAGATATTTAGGTAGCTTCAAGAAACGCCCGTCAAAATATTGGACTCATGGCGTTTACCAGCTCCCATGCATCCTCAAAACCTATTCCCGACACACAAATAGACTGTTACTTAAGACCATTTTTCATCGTGCACTCAGTTTCTTTGTTGAGATCACTTGGATAAGAAAAATGAAAATACAAACCTGAAGAGCACGGTAAAGCCTGTGCCAAGCGATTTCATGTGCTTCCTCTCTTGCGGCCTCAAACAACCGTCGGGACTTTGTAAACAAATGCGCCTGGCAAGAGGGCTTTCTATCTGCAGCATTCCGCTGGAACCAAGAAAACATTTGAGCAACACTTATTGTTAACAGGGGCTCTGTCAATAGTGATTGAAAGAATTGACTTCCTAGACAACTCGGTCGTCTGGGTCACGTCGATTACTGACAAAATTCCTTCCTCTGCACATGAGTTTCGAGTACGTAGAACATCACTAAACGTTTCACGGGTTTTGATGAACATCTGAAACGGGGCTTTAACTCTCATGTGTAGTTTCATGACATGAACACATCCAACAAAACTCGTTGAAGCAACAACCATCGTGTTGCAGAATTAGTTAGCACCGTGAGTTTACCAGGTTATACTTTCTCTGCTCTTTTCATGGTCAGTGGTAAACACCGTGTTCCGTCTGATGGTTTAACATGAAATCGACGAATATTTGCAATCGGTGAAATGCTAGTCAGTTGGACTGATAGGTTTTCGACTACGATTAGTTCGGTCTGCTTTGATAATGTAGATTGTTCGCTATTCATCTAAAAGCGTGCCTATCACTATGTCCTCCTGTCTCGGTCTGCCTCTCTGTCTGATTGCCTGCCTGTTGGGTTTAACATGAAATCGACGAATATTTGCAATCGGTGAAATGCTAGTCAGTTGGACTGATAGGTTTTCGACTACGATTAGTTCGGTCTGCTTTGATAATGTAGATTGTTCGCTATTCATCTAAAAGCGTGCCTATCACTATGTCCTCATCTATCTATCTATCTATCTATCTATTGGTCTGTTTATCTTCTTAGAGATTTGAATCAAACCACAGGGAATGGTTTATCGGATTAACTATTGTTTCCATCAAAAATATTTTAATTGAGATCATTGAGTCAGCTATTATTGGCAGACTTCGTCGATATTAACTGGGTTGTTAAGTGTTTCTGCCACTGAAGTGACAGGCACTCTCATTGCTAGGTGTACTACTCACTTGATTCCTTGTATAGATATTTGCGTAGGAAATAAGTGTTCCAATAGGCTGTTCAAAATATCGAATATTGCACTGAACACATACTGCTAGAGCTCCATCGTTTCGGTGCATCGGTAGATCATACTGACCCTGGAGTTTTCCAACTGGGAGACTGCCCATCGCCTGAATTATATAATAAACAGACACCTGTCAGTTCAGTGTCAACCAAGATAGCGTCTTCTTCCATAAAATGAAGAGGCGGCTCACCATGTGACCGTAATTGTTCACCTTAATACTCACGTGTTGGTGTTGAAAAATACGATTGGTCTATGAATATCATTCCCGAAGCCGCCTCCCAAACATCAGTGCATAGCACTTGTATTATCACATGAGTTTGCTCGTTCAGGTTCAAGGCACTCATCGCACCAACACAGAAAAACACTTCAAGTGGCCATCAATTGACCGGGTCCTCGAGTGTCAACTAATCAGATGGAAGTTTCCGTCCTCTGAATTACTTGTAAATGATTCATATAGAATTGACCTCCTTTTGTACCGTGGCACAGAAATGTATGAAGTATAAGGTACCCAAAGCCATTGCTTGGTTATCCGGAAAGCGACACTCGAAAGGCTCGGATATCTACATGCTTGGACTGTCAACCTTGCTGATCTCGGGCTATGGAACATGCAGTTCCTAATCAAGTATTTGCACCATTGACCGTCACCTATCACACGTAACCAAACACATCTGTCATATCGATAAATACACTCATTTTCATAACAGTTTGACTTTTCACAAGTGACCAAATGAGTCTCTCCATATCATTTTGTGACTTACCATTTCGCCGTATTTCATCACGTGACTAAACACTGTACACCTTTTCACCTCCTCGTATTGTTCATCCAGTGTACGCGTTTTTATGTCTTTCTGCGTGCACGCGGAAGATAATGAAAAAGGGGAGCTATGTGAAGCAGACAAATTAGCTAAGGCAATTTTAAGACGAATCCGCTTTAGGCAAAACGTTGAAACTTTCACAAGGGTAAAACAACCGAGGTATGCATAGACACATATTGCTGATAAATTTGTGAGCACTCCACCTTACATGCACACAAAACATATCCTAAGTATATGGTGCTCTATCTGCTCACCTCCACCAACATCACCACAGTCATCTTCATCATGGAGATGAGCAACAGAGGAAACTACTGATGATTTACTGCCGTACAAGAATTCCAAATTATTTGTGGTGGGAAAGAAAGGATACTGGAACAGGAAGGAAAATCTAGGGCTAGCCTACTGCCTACACCCAGATATCCACACATTCGAGATCCAGTCAGACAATCTAGAAAGAAACTGACAGCATGGACGCCATTGCCATATTGATACATTTCGTCAGATGTATTGAGACAAAGGCGTTCAGAAGATGCACCAGCATCATAATCATCGTTATCATCAACGGCATTGCTATCATCATCAACATCAACTTCATCATTGTGAACATCAGTATTCAACATTGACGCTTCCATGCGTGAACTCAATATCCATTCGAAGCCCTATTCAAAACAAAAGAATCACAACGGATTAGCAAATTATTTGGTGCTGTCTTACCACAATTATTCCGATGCGCCTAAAGCTCCAGACAATTACTCAGGCGATATGAACCGAAAATAATAACAAGAACTTCAATAACATCGATTCAAGCACAGTCACGGTGGGAATCAGGCGGTCTCCATCGTAGATTGCGAATTACACTGATAGCACCCAAACGTTTCCTAGCCTCTTTCACATCCCTGTGCGAGATCAGAGGCAAGCCTGCCTAGGTGGATAGTGAGAAATTTCGGACATACAACCAATGGTTTGATTATTTTGGTGCCACCGGACTGCCGTGATTTGTTTTGAGGATCAAATGAACTACCACTGGCTGCTGAGTACCAACGGATTACCCATCTAAACCTGACAGGGTTATCTGCAAAACAGCTGTGTAAACTTACGTATTCCGAATCTAAAAGCCATTCATACGAGTATTCGTCCGCTAGACAAACATCGATGTCCTTGTCAGAACAAAACAAAGCCGAGGAATCTTCATCTTCGTTGGCTGCTGTTGTCACGTAGACTGCGGGTTTAGGGTTTCAGACAAGAGATAGTATAAGTCAAAATCAAAGATGTGTGAAAGAGTGAGGTAAATTATCGACGAAAAGATCCTGTGACTCAGAGAAATAACCAAGCTGCAAGACGTATAATACTAACACACTAGTCAGAAGGTCGCTGACGTTTCATTGACAGAACATAGTGGTTTTCCTGCTACTTGCGTCGAATCAGGTAGACGCAGTCCTCGAATTTCTCTAAGAATTAATCAAGACATGAACGCAGACTGAGTGAAACTTCCCAAACACTCTCATTAACGAGACATTTTCCGGGTGTGTTTTGGTCTGTCCGTCAAAATCAAATAAGTATGCGAATGCATAATAAGGTTTTTTAAGGTAAAACCCCTGGAAAAAGACCACTGACGGGAGCGGCCAAGGTAGACACGTCACTAGCATTAGACCTTATTTCTTGGTTTGAAATGTACTTTTTGGGAAAGATGTCAATCCATTTGGTGCCATCATCGCCTAAACGCTTGTGGCGTAGAGTATTGGGTTTCTTTCATACAATTATCGCGATGTGAACAAGAAAAAACCAAGCTCGGAACAAAGACTGGTTCTCAGGCTTTGTCCTGTTTTACCGGGGAACGACGCTTTTAAACCATATGTGATTGACATTATAAACACCATTTCACAGGATCCATGCAATAAGCAGCCAGAAATTTAATCTACTTACTTCCCATATTTGAAGGAAGAACATCGTGAAACATTGAGCCAGCGTTGCAAGCCTCTACATACAGCACCAATTTGTTGAACATTTTTTTTGAACGCATGTATGCAAGGGTATCGTTCAACTCCATGGCAAGCAGCTGTCGGAATGCAAGAAGAAAATTTCTCTTGAGCTCAAGATGAGCCACTCGATGGGTCAGTCACCAGTGATGCGGATCCCTTGATTGGAGCATGGGTGGCGTTATGTCCTGATTTAGTGCGGATAAACCAGGCTGCTGGTTGGTTGCTCGTGGCCGATAGGTTACACTTTGCATTTATCAAGCGCAACACTGATGATTCTCAAGACGTATGGAACAGTTGTACATTGCTTCTTGGCTTTTCATCACAGAATGTTTTCTCATAAACACAAAAACTGCATACTATTGAAGATTCGTGCTGTCGCGCTAGAAGCGAGAAGCAGTATGTTGTCTTGTCAGGGCAGATCCGGCTGACGCGTTCTTCGTATATGTACGCCTCACTGGTGACCGTGTACTACCAGCTTTCTTGTTTATGGTATCTCCGTTTGCTCAGCAGTCTGAATGGGCCGACCACAAAATCATGTGAGTCGAACGACCTTAAACTTCGTAAATAAACTATGTGACGTTGTCATCTAAAGCACCTTGACGACACCTATTGTGGCGTTTTGTAAATTTANTTTGTAAATTTATTTTACCTCCATTATAACACTACGTATTTCATCAATTGCATAATCGTTTTTTGTTTCAATACGAAAAACTACAAAAACGCGCACTTGTACAATTTCACGTAATACAAGCGTGGTCACGTGCTTCGACTCTCTCTTCTGATTTCGCCCGCGCTTGCAGCGGTCATTCGGGAGTCTCAGTTACTACCGCTGGCACCAAAATATTTCAGAAATCCTCGGAATTTATTATACGTGGGGACTGTTCAGTAGAAGACCTCTGGACCAACATAATTGTATTATGGTATATTCGCTGATCCGGGCCAAGGAAGAACTATTTTAAAGAGAGTGTGTTCCATCTGATCTCTTTATTATTGTATAACCACCCTAGCGTAATTATTTTTATTTCTTTGCCACACACTCCTGGTAAGCTAACGCATTGGGTAGCCTGACCCCCACAAATTTGGTGAACCCGAGTATTTCGAGATATTTTTTGAAAGCTTTTTTTCCAGTTCGTCGTATTTTTGTTTCTTTTGCCCGGTTAGTACTAAGGAACACTTTGATTCAGCGGATTTGTTCGAGAATGCGAATAGCAAACATTTACCAGATTGCATTCCACGCAAACCCATGGTGTGGTTTCGCCGTTTTTCTACGCGAAGCATCACTTCCCAAGACTCGGTATTCCTGTGTTGTCCAGCGTCTTCCTTGTGACGTAGCAACAGAAGCTAATGATCTCTTAGGAGATATTCCTAAGGAAAATCCGTATGACGCCCTTCGAGCGGTCGTCATAAGTAGGACGGGGAAATCTGAAAAAAATGCTGCGAGATATATTCACCACTGTCAAACCTGGGGACAGATCGCCATCACAAATTCTTCGCCACATGTGCAGTCTCCTCTGCGGTGGTAAGCTAGCGGTGGAAATCATGGCCCAACTATGGCTCGACAAACCCCCACCCTCCATATCCCACGTCATCAGCGCTTTCGTGCTTCTGTGTCACAACTACAAGCCAAATCTGATGCTTTGACTGACCGCCTACAACGGTTGGACATCAACAAGCATCGAACACGTTCACGATCCAGATCGTTATCTCGTGCCCGCCACTCTTGCTGCTGGTATCACCAATCTTATGGCCGAAAAGCACGCAAGTGTCAACCATCTTGGTCCTTCAAGCCGCGTTCCAAAACCCCTTTAAACACCACGGCAAGTAAGTAACAGATACGACTGTCTGTGGCCCTCCTCACACTAGTCGCCTGTTTCACATCACCGATCATTCAAGTGGTCTACTTTTCCTTGTAGATACGGGAGCTGAAATTGGTGTGCTAGCACATAAGAATCCACTTCCCGATTCTGCTTCTTTCTCGTTACAAGCCGCAAACATTACCCGCATCGCTACATACGGCGAACGTTCCCTTACCCTTGATCCCGGATTGCGACGAACGTTCAAGTGGATCTTCCTTTTGGCCGACGCCCAAACCCAGATCATCTGTGCAGATTTCCTGACCCATTACAACCCATCTGTAGACGTGCGACCCAAACGTCTCTCAGGCACGCTTACTTTTCTCTCAATCAACGGAATTAGTGCCCCAAATTCATCCACACGTATCCGCGTTATCTTACCGGGTTAACATTTTGCTGACATACATAGGGATTCTGCAACCCTTACTCATTCATGCCAGTACACTCAACCGGTCAATCATTCCGCCGTCCACCGTATTCAGATGAGAGGTCCACCTGTCCATGCCAACCCACGCAAACGTCATCAGGATAAGCAACAACTCGCAAAACACGAGTTCGAACACACGCCCGAACTCGACATTATCCGCCCTTCATCGAGTCATTGGTAATCACCCCCACATATGGTTCCTAAGAAATCTAAAGTTGAGTGGAGACCATGTGGTGATTACCGTTCTCTCAACAACGCTACTATCCCAGACAAGTATCCCATCCCACATATCCACGATTTCGTAATTACCCTATGCCACATCTCCGAAATCGATCTCGTACCAGCATACTATCACATACCCGTAGCCCCGGACGACATTCCTAAAACAGCCATCACAACACCGTTTGTCCTTTTCGAACTCACGCGTACGCCCCTTGGTCTTCGAAATGCAGCCCAAACGTTTCAACTTTTCATGGACGAGGTTTTACGTGGCTTACCGTTAGTGTATATCTAACTTGGCGAAGTTTTATTCGCTAGCATCTCCCCCAGATGAACATGCAGCTCATCTCAGACCAGTGTCTGAACGTCTTTCCACTTACAACATACTTGAGAACATTGACAAATGCTTATTCGGTGTTACTAGCCTGGATTTTCTTGGCCAACACATTGACGCCACAGGTGTTTCACCATTGGCCAGTCGCATTTCAGCCACCACTCTCAACCAAATTCGCCGTTTCATGGGTATCATCAGCTACTACCGGTGATTCATCCCTCACTGTGAAATTATTTTAAGCCACTGACCGATTTACTTGGGTCCAAAGGGAAATCTGTTACTTTGCCCCCGCCGCCATTGCCGCTTTCGAAAGAGCCAAACGAGCCATTGCTCAGGCCACAAAGTTATCTCTACTCGATACTCGCGAGAGCACAAATCTGATTTTGACAACTGGGATGTCGCTCTTGAGAGTGCTGCAGGATCAGCTTGATTATAATCTCCCTTTTGTAAAGCATTACTCATGTACTTGCACCAACATGATTACGTAAGCCTTTACAATCCGTTCACTATTTAGCTCCTAATTAAAAAGGTGCGTGCTAAAACCATGGTTACCGAAATTAACTAAACTTACTTCTTCTCCTGGGAAGACAATAACGGAACTGGCACCATGGCCGGAGAAGAAGATGAATACGTTGTCATTGGGACCGCTGTTGTTGGGTAGAAAGATTAAGGCGGTCTTGAAGAGTAGCTTATTGCCGGCGCTAGCATAGATGGGAAAACACAAGAAAATACCCGTGGAAATGGAAGCATAGCAAACACGTAGTTCAGAATATTGTTTTGTACACGCTGATGGATATATCAGTAGCGGAATTAACTTCCACTAGTCTGCTATTTGCATGGCCACGTGAATATGTGGATGAACCTTCGATTCTTTGGACGTCTGTTGGTTGATTCTTATGGTTTTCAATGTATGAAATTGGCTGGAAGCTGTGTTCCACTTTAGCAGGTCTTATTCTCTTGGCGTCGGAACGGTCACACTTAGCTGTTTTGAAAAGACGCTCTTGTGAGCATGATTAAATCTGTTTAATGGAATGTCTACATGATATGTACACTACTCAGGGAAATATTGTAACCCAAATGAGGCGATCCTACATTTTGAACAAGGCTGTCCAAGAAGCCATATGTTCTTATCTAAATGCGATCTAAAAATGTTCTGTTTCCGGGTCGTTGATCAGGATGGTCTTCATCAGTTCTCTGATCCTAGTGATAAGCTTACGAATGTTTCATCACCATCCGAAGTGACATCATGAGTGAGCGGTTGGGTTGGAATTTACTCCATACTTGTCTGATATTAAACGGATATGACTGGCTGAGGGGACCATTCACTTCTCGGGGTCCAAATGGTCGAATTCGAACTGCACTGCGTTGTGGCAGGCACCCCCCTGAATTCGATTGCTGCTTTAAGTAGTTTCTGTATGAGAATCTTTTGTTCATGGTTTGATTCATCAGTTACCAACTTCTACTGTGTTGCATTCTGGCTTTCCACATTCGATTATCTCTCTCGCCGGCTTCTTGTTTCCGCAGTATATTTTGATTGTTTTTTTCTGAATTGCTGTTGTGCTGTAGCCTGAGATTTCGGAGTTTGTTTTCACGAATGCTCTTCCAGTTAATAAAACTTGTTTATTGTGCGGATGAGATTATCACCGTTGAACACCTATTCTATAAGCCATCTCTCATTCCGTCTCTATCCCAACTAACTGTAGGCGGCATCGTAAAAGCTGTTCTGTTCATTTCCATATTACATGTGTTAACTTATCTGCTTAAAGCATAATATCGAACCAGAAGTGCAAAATTTGGCGGAAAAATATAACGTCGAGCTCAACTAAGATATATTTTTGTAGAACGTCAGCCAAATTTCAAAATGCAAACGATTAGGCTCACAATATGTCAAGTAACAAAAAATATTCCTTTCAAATATGCCCAACGAAATATTTTGTCTGAAAATGAAGTTTTGCAGAAAACTAGCTTGCTGAAACAGGATATAATGTACGTGACGGGCAGTGGAATCTTCATTCTGTAGGCGACAGCAAATAAAGTGCCACAGGTCTATTACCACTTGGCGGGGGATTTCAAAAATGAGCGTTTGTCAAACACAGTGCTTTGGAAGGGTGAATACGGGAACTTCCCACTCCAAGTTATTGTGAGGACTGGCGAAACCTCAGAATAAAGCCTATATGAACAGCTAGCAGGCCACCACCTTCGAATGGCGACAGAACAGACCACGAGGCACTACGTTCGCAGTTGCAAACCTGATTGTCAGCAGACCAAATAGCACGAAGCTGTTGAAGTAGGCCAAACAATCGGTGTTCACAAAACTTTTAAATCAAGGGGATTTTTCCAACTGCAAGCGAAATATATTGGTTCACGAAAGCTGGGAATATGTACGGAAACATTCACCGCCGGTCCCTGTACGAAACAACGGTTTATTAGATAACACGCACAAAGAGCGGCTAACTACATAGTTCGCCACAATTGCAAACACAAAGTGTGCCTAGATGGCTGGATGAGAGACCTATGCTTTGCGAGTGAACAAATATTTGCCTCGCTTCCTCGCTTGCTTCTGTAAGCCGGCGCTACCCATCTCGTCATGCGGGTCAACACGGCGGGAATGGAAGTTCGAAAGAACAAGTGTGACATTAGCAACACACATAGGCACGACAGGTTTTCTAAAAGGTGAGAGTATGATGGGTAAACGTCGAAACAAATTTGAGGGACCACCATAAACGCACAGGGCCGACAGTGGACTTGGTGCTCGATCATCCAAACTACAGTGTTAATTTACGTTTTTCAACAAGATGAGTTAAAACAACTCCTGAATTCGAGCAAACCAACATTGACCGACCCAACGATGCACAAAACCAAGCATACATTTGGCTACTCCCAACTGCGCATATCTGAATATTTCTGAAACCTTTTACCAGCGGCAATTGATGCCTATGATTTAATAAGAGCCAAAAGTCAGAAATGGATAAACCGGTTTTCCCGTGGAGTGAATCTTACTCGAATAGATTACGTCCCAAGTTACTTACGGGAATACTAAACACGCATTTCGTAAATACGAAGACGGTGACCTGCAAAATTAGAATTCTGGTTGTGATCAACAAGTGTATAAACAGTGTCCACTTCCGCGCAAACTCACCTTTTGAGCACCTTCTTCTTGTTGGCTTCAAGTTTATCATCGCCTTTTAACACCATCATGAAGTTATCCGGTGTGACATCCTAAAACGGATTTACATGCATGCCCAATTATTCCAGTGACAATGGTGTTCCGTACACTCACTCTCTTCCCAGTCACCATCCATTTTCACCCTAAAAAAATAATTCAAATCTAGGATCTACCCTCCATCTTCATTAATATTTTATTCACGATAATCGATGTGTGCTGAAAACTGAATGAATCGATTGTTGGTCCGTTTATCAAACATGGCATTTGGATTTACTCCCCAAGCCTAGTGTTGGTAGTTGAGTTGAACACGGACTACCTGGAAGCACTACCAAATGGCCCTCACCTACCTCAGCAACTAAGGAATGCAACATACGTGAGAACTAGCCGCTATCTTAAAACGAGTATCACTCATCAGTACTCAAATGAATTACAGATTAGTATTTCGTATATATGATATTCTTTAGCTGAATGTGCTGTCCTGGACACGCTGCTTGGTTTGGTTGGTGCTTCAATCGGGATATCAAAGGATATTTCCCCGGAGAATCTATTCGACACTGTTGGTCTTCGTGCACATTTTGCGGTTCTTTTGACAAGAACGCTAACCTACTTGATAGACCAAAGTCGGACGGTTGAACTCGGTCACGGAATGCCTGAGATTTCTCTATTACCTTATGACTAATGTTCGTCCAAGTGGATTGAGCATTCTGTGCTATGGTAAAACTGATTAACCTGCCCTACGTTTTGTATTGTATTTTGATCCACAGTGTCATTTTAATTGCACCTTGTGTTACGCGGTAAACTGATACAGAAATTTACTTAATTGCTGCGCACGGAACACGGACTTACTCTTCCACGGTAATCAATTACCACCCCATTGTATACATCTTTGTGCTCGTAATCTTGGAACACTTTACCTTTAAACGGATTTCTGGAATAAAGAAAATGAAAATGGCGATATGTCTCCCGGGAGAACTCAGCACGTAGGTCGATTAGAAAGAAATTCAGTTCGAACTGGGCTCGCTGGCTTCCGAAATAATTTTTTCAAGACGATGAGTGCACCATTTTAACACATAAAAATATTTTACGCCCAAGGAATTGAGGTAACCTTCAATGATCCCCGTTGAGAGCACAACAAAGATAATTACAAATTTGGTGCTAAAATGTAATTCCTTGGGTAAATTTACACCAGCAGTCTATTTTATGAGCATATCCATATTTCGTGCCCGTGAATGTAATTCGAGTGGACAGGAGGCGATATGGCTCAAGTGGATAAGGCGCAAATATACTGACCGGAAATTCCGTGATTCCAGCCCTACGTCTGACTCCCGAGCTCTTCTGTCAAGGTTTGGGAAACATGGCAGTAATCTAAACCTCGTGCAACCTTCGTGTGTCATGGCAGCCAGGCACATTTAAGTTGCTACAGCTGAAAGAACGACTGGGCAATAAACGACTTACGATTGTTACCGTCTCCACGCATGAATCAGATTTTGATGTTTTTAGGAGGTCTTTTCTTCTCTCTGGATGCACTACGGCCGGCTGATGCACTAAAATGACATCTAGATATCAACGGAAACGAGTACTCAAACGAGTGCACATCAGTTTCATCGTTATCGTCATCATCTTCGTCATCATCATCAGAAGGTGCTACTCGCATCAGGGTTCTATGGCGTCTAAAGTCAGGAAGAGGCATCAACCAACAGAAAATCTGATAAAACATCTGAAGTGACATATGAAACCCCATAGTTGCCTGCAACTCAAATTCAACAATACACGAGAAATACGGAACAACAATGAGACGTGTTAAATCAAAATAAAAAGCACCTTACTACATTCTAATTTTTACCATGTGGCGAAAACTGTACGCGATATTTACTTGCGATTTTTTGCAATATCGTCGTAGGCGAAAGTGATTATATTCTCCGCTGGAACTTTGTTTTTACGCACCAAATGATACGCGTGAAAAACGTCCGACTGAATGAAAACACAAATGACAAGTGAATTTAGGATAACAGGTAGAGTGATTAATGAAATCCAAAGTAGGCAGGCAGTGTGTGTGTAGGATAATCCATACTTCGTGGAGCACCAGTTACCACAACAGCGTGTGGATGTATTATCCCAAAAACAGGAAGCATGATTCTACTCTGGAAGGGCTTTGGTTAACCAAAGTTCTACATTCATTCGTGTAAGAACAACGACCTGCTCACCGAATCTGTACGATCTTGGTATCCCTTGACATCGAAAATACAGCCGGATCTGTCGTTAGCCTGTGTTCTAGAGAAATAGTCACATTGCGTGGAAAATCATGTGGAAATAAATTATTACCCACTGACTCATAAGAATGGATACATACGCACTAATAAAGTGTAACATTTTGAATACCATTCTCATATAACTCTATGCAAATTATAGACGACCGGACGAACGATTTTGAGGAAGATGGATTTCTATATGCTTATTCCAAATGCATGCTACTTGATCTCACGAAGTATTATAGATTCGTTCGCTCACGTTGCCTAGCCATTCCGGTTCTTTCGCCGTAGCAACCAACGTTGTTGGTACGTCAGTGGACTTTGTTGAGTTTTCTGAGTCCATTTCATACAACAAGTCATTCTAGGCTGCCCGGGAAAGTTACTCTAATATAATGAAGCTACAAGTCAGGACAGATTATTAGTGGTGGCTAGAAAAACCTCGAATTCCTGTTTTATACCACATTATACCTTGTAACATAACGGAACGGTAAAAACCTATGGGCGGCGAAAGTCGGATTCCGATTATCGTGAATCAGACTATGCACATCCGTAACGGTTGAGTACGTTAGGAGCGTAGTATCGACCCCACACAAAACATAATATCGTTTTATGACAATGAACTACTGAGGGAGAGGAATACAGGCGACGAAATGTTTCCATTAGGGTGTTCATTATTGTGTTCATTCGATAAGGCTTTCCGAGTGTTTCGACTGAAATATCACAACCATGGAGAAACCCATGATAGACATAACTGTTTGTGGACCATTATCGCAACATTCTACTTTGAATACCCTTTCTTACAAAATTTAAATGAACTTTTGAGCCTCAAGCCAATAAAAACTTAACAGAAACTTGCTTGATGTCGATAATTGACCCAGGTATTTGAACCAGCGACTAGGACAACCCAGTTCTTCGACGGATTATTGTTAAATATGGTTGACCAATTGTGGACACCGATGGCTCCCAAACGTACAACGTGGTCGATGCAGAACAAGAACGCAATTAGAAGGGAACAAGGACGCATCATATTGAGGCTTACTTGAAGCATCATGTGCCTGGAATTTTATACTCTGCGTCTCCTGTGAATCGAACTTTGCCCTACTAATTTATAGCAATGCGTCTCCTGTGAATCGAACTTTGCCTCAAAAATATATGGCAATAATGTGAAAAAAGGTATCCACCAAAAAATCAAATAGTTCTGCGGTACAAAGTTTATGATAATCGGTATACGGTGGATCATTTTCATCAGCTTGCTCAATGACTGGTTATTTGTGCAAACATATTCCAACAGGATGTGCACACTGGTGATCTGTAGTGTTTTCTAGGAATTTGCTGAGCACTCATGCGCTTCAGGCAGAAATGAGCAGCACCCTGAGTCTACAAACTTGTTTTCACGTATCTGCTGGCTTGATGAGCAACTTTAATAATCCTTTTCTACACGGGGATATTAATGCAAATTTTCGTATCAAAACGTCATAGTGAAAACTTGTTTCCTAGTTGGAACTGTCCGAACCTCTTCAAGCTATCAGTGACAGGAAGTAGGCTTGCTGAGGAGTAATTTATCATTAAATGCCAACTGACCGGTGGCAGACTATTGGGCAGGAAGGCACAACTCTCACATCCATCGTAATTACAAAAACTGAACATCGATCTTCACTTAAGCGCGTCTTACTGAACTTTCCTGGATATTCATTACGTGTTGCTAAATTCCAACTAAATTGTACAAAGCGAGTCCATGAATTTCGCAAAGATTTTCCTTTTCAAGCGAATTTACAAGAAGAGAACATAGTACTCTAATGCCTGTCCCATTCGTAGTCTCACCGTTACGCACATCCATTCTTTAAAGATCGATCGCTTACCATCGCTTCTCATTTAACTCCGTCAGGGCGGGTACGGCAACATATCTAGGCGGCCCCATTATCGGTGTGTGCATTATGCATCCTATAGATGTTCCCCAGGTCGTTGGCAACGACAACTGGACCCAGTCATTGACTGCCTAGCTTCCGCGACCCCAGTCCACTACTTCCAGGATTCTGATGTCCCTTCTATTTGAATTTCGTTCCTATGGAGAATGTTCACGCCTTTCTACTTGACGTTTTCTGCCTATTTTCCAGAACGGCGGTAAAGTACTTTTGAGCTCTCTTTTCTTCTTCCTCTAGCTGCACTGGAGACAAGCGTATTGCCGGCGACAAGCCAATTTCAGTAGCATCATCGTTACACACTTTCACCCTCCAAAAGTCGTTCGCAGGCCACTGATTTCCATTTACCTCGGTTAGGACAGCTTCTGCAGCGGTGTCACCGGAAAAGGACCGTTGAGTTCCGCGGACCGCAATTCGCCGCTTTCTGGGAAAGCCATATTTTCCTTGGAATAGAATACCCTTGTCGTGTCACATTCCATTATTTGGCATCGCTTACAGGAACCCGAATAATCCATCACCTTGCTCCTCAAACCGGGACAGCAGGCAGTCTGCCAAAGTATATGCCATCCCATGGCATTCGACGATAAGCTTCCGTCTCAAAACGCTAGGTTTCACGGGTAGCACAACATCCAAATCGCGGGCGTTGCAGTAAAATATGCTAGCTTCCTTCGGACTCACCCAGTCAAAGTGATTCTGGAGCGTTTCCACTTCCTTGACTCCCCCTTCTTTCTCAATGCTCCTTTCATCTAACAAAGCGGTTGCAACCATTTGTAGAACAGGATCGTGCCGCTGGAGTTGGGCCAACCTTCCTGGATACAGTTCGACGACAAGAGCATTGGCTCCGATCATGATCCTGAGGACCTCGTCTTCAAACTCTGGTCTTGAAAGGCAATCATAAAAATTGTTCTCCTTCCCTGGCACGTGCTGCATTGTGAGGTGCGCGCATGCAGTCGGACTGACAATGTTTCTTGTCAGTGGGCTAACCTCTCCGTGACCCACTTTGTGACCCAGAGGTGTCACAGACCTTCGCGCAAGCTGTGACTTGGCTTCCTTTATCCACAAACCAGCCTCACGTTAGCGCTTGTATAACCGTCAAGCTTGATTGCGCCTTAACTTTTCACCAGGGCGGTCAGCCGGCTTGTTGAACTCCGGTGCAACGAATTCCCTCGCGGAGGCCCAGTACACCTTCCAAGAATCTCTTCCGGTAGCATATAGTGTCGCCTTCGTCCGATCCCATGAGGAGGATCTCCAGCGTCGCGAACTCACTCCAGTGGGTCTCCAGTTCGGCGGCCTCAGCGACCTCATCAAAATCCTGCAGGAAGGTTTGAAAATCCCCATCCTCAAAAGGTAGTGGCCACGGAAACTTGATCCTTATCTTGGTCAAGTCACCAACTTAAAGGAAGAATGCCTTCCCTGCGGAGTTATTTATTACACAAATGCCAACTAACCAGTTAGTGACTATTGGGCAGGCAGGCAAAACTCTCATACGCAACCTACTTAGAAAAGATGAACATCCATCTTCACGAAAAAGCGTCATGCTGAACGTTTCTGGATATTCATTGAGTCTTTCGCAACTTCAAGCAAATGGAACAAAGCGAGTCCCCAAATTCCGCAGAGTCGTCACTCGAGTAACCTGTCAGCATTATGTGACTATGTGATTTGGTTTTTGTGATTGAATGATGAATCGCGGTATATCCTGTCTAACTGAGAGCTAATCACCCTACTGATCAGCAGTTCTCGGCCCAAAGTTTACCTCGTTTTTCGGTAGGCTAATTAAGGAACCAAAACCAGACTGATGTAGTTGAGGGTTTCCTCTAATAAAATGCAACAGATTATTTAAATTACAGCTTTGAAATTTTTCGCATCCGTACTAATGTGTGGGCAAAATAGGTTCCTTTGAAAGCTTCAGCATATCAGAACTCTCGGCATGCATTACATCCCCCGATTCGATACACCACATCGTCGAGTATGAACTTGGTCTTCCGGATTCCAACAACAGGTTCACTTCGGGCATTTTCAAGAATGAACCAGCATAGTACGCGTTATATTAGAGAAAAAAGTCGACCACCACGTTATACCCAGCGCAACCACTGACTCGTTAGCTGGATTTTATGTCAAAAGCGGAGGAAATTATCGCAGAAAAGTAGTTACAATTACCACCAAATGACGTATTGATTTGCCACAAGAAATTCCAGGTAGGAGTTTGTGCCTTGTTGAGTCTGTGGGCACCCAGATGCGCCGTAAGTTGGAGTTCCATTTTTAGCCTCAGGAAATCCTGTGATTCCCTTGCTGCTCAGCTGGATTGTCCTAGTGTTGTTCACAAACATCTGTCAGGAGTAAACCCTATTTTTACTGTTTGCTCGATGTATTTAGGTCGAAAATGGTTCGCACTTGCAACTCAGACCCGCACATGAACCCTTCTCAATATAAGCCCTTGTATTCCGAAGCTACTGGGTCCCTAATTTGGACGCACCTATCCAAACACCCAATGAAATGAAGAACGACAGGATCGCTCAGCCTGACATTTAGTGTACCGTCTTTTCACCTTCATCGGCATAGGGAGCATAACCACCGCGGAAGGCGAATATTTAATGAAAACTTTGCAGTTCAACTTTTTGGCTTGATTGCCAGATCAGCAACTAGATGACCAATAACATGTAATGTCACACGTGTTGTCACTGTCTCGACATTTTTTCAGTGCTTGTACCGGTCAAACCAAACCCATTCCACAGGTGCCCTGTCCAATTGCTTTCATAAGCTTCAATTTGCGCACCGGTATTCAGTTAAGTTCACCTGTCCGACCCTCACAGAGCTACAGTTGAACAAAATATGCTGATATTCAAAGTCGCAAAGTAGCAGTTTCAATATTCGGAACATAATATTTCAGCGGCAGCACCGTTTTGGTACGCAGCCGTCATATTGCCCGAGGGAAGCAAGAGTGCTGAGCAATCGCCGGGCAGCCCAAGCCAGGACAGGACTAGTCGAGATGCCGAGGCTGGATTCGAAACACGGTAAGCAAATTCTGGACATAAGCACTGAACTATCGTGAGATCCCAAGCCAAAGTAAAGGAAGAATGTTTCTGCGGCGGAGCTGTAGATTACCTTTTCGTTTCAGAGAGCGTGATAAAAAGCACGCGAGTTACATCGGTTACAAACCATATCTTGAAGCGTTTTAAACTAGGGTTATTCTCGAACATGAATTAAAAACATCTATAACAGTTGCGAGAAGTTCAGGGTTCCAGAAAAAACACTGTCAATGTTCATCACTTTACACAAAAGTTTTCTATGTTCAAACCAAGGTCTCATGAAATCTCGGATGTGTGACTACGGGTCGGCGTGGTTAATGTCGGGTCTTTGATAGTATTTATTCGTCTAATTTTTGCCACTTTGCTGGAAGAGACTGCAAGTTTATACAAGGAAGCCT